GGAGACTCTGCTGTGGTCCTGCAGTGCTGTCAGTGAGAGCTGAAGGCGTGACCTCGAAACACAGACGAGGGGCTTCCAGACCCCCCCACCCAGATTGCTCCCACTCAGACCCAGACCAGCTCAAGCCCAGACACACAAAAGCCCCCTCTGTCTGCGCGGGCTCTGATCTCCATCAGGGACCTGCCCGCGGTGCTGAACAGATGTGCTGATTATCGGGGGGGCTGAGGTATTTATAGAGCCGCGTCTCTGGATGGCTGCTTCCCGCCGAGCCGCTGTAATAACAGGCTGGCGATCGCTGTCGCGGGCTGCCAGCACAGGGGATGTGGGCTGGACAGTTTGCCCGGGCACAGTGATTCAGGATTTTTCCTTCGTTTTTATTTATTTTGGTTTTCTTTGTATGTGGAGCAAGATTAAAAGGAGTGGAAAAACTCTTTGGAATCCCCCCCCCTGCAACATACACATGAGCTTAAGAGCTCATTGTAAAGAACAGTGCAGTAAATCACAATGAGAACAAGGTAAAAGCATAGTACAGTGCAGTAAATCACAGTGAGATCAGGGTGAAAGCACAGTACAGCGCACTAAAGCCCAGTGTGAACTGGGTAAAAGCACAGTACAGTGCAGTAAATCACAGCGAGATCAGGGTGAGAGCACAGTACCGCCCTGCGGTGTGAAAGAATGAGGCTGCAGCCCGGGCGCTGGCCGGCTTGTGCCTTCTCCTCTTCGTGCCTGGTGCTGTGTCACCTGGCCACAGTAAGAAATCGTTAACAGCAGCGGCTGCAGCAGAGGGACAGAGATACAGAGGAACCGGAGTCAGGACACTCGACGATTGCACATGTTGCTTTCATTACTGACACAATACGAATGTTGCAACACACAGGGTCTCCAGGCCTCTGCCAAAATTCACAAACGCCCCCGTCCCGGTGGCCCTGGGGGCAGGGTGTGTGAGCAGAGGGGGAGGGAGGCATTGTGTGGATCACACAGGCTTTGTCATTTGGGCAGGGGGTCGGGGGGAGGGGGTGAAATCCTGTTCTGGGGTTCGCTGAGGTGAGGGGGCGGGAGAGGAAGTGGCGGGGGGGTTGACAGGCAGGAGTGAGGGCTCTGCTGAGATGAGAGCGCAGAGTGTTCAGTGTGGGGGCGAGCACACAGTTTTGGGGGGTCCCCACGGTGCTGGCTCAGCAGCCTCTCAGTGCTGAGGAGCTGCTGCTTGCCCGGGGGGTATCTGAGGGGGTGGGGGGAGAGACGTGGGAGATAAACACTGCCGGTCACCTGCTGGACAGACCGGCCCCAGTCCTGCCCTCGTCCTGAGCCCCTCTCTGACCGCCGGCGGAGCGTGGGCTGACAGCACCCAGGTCGCCGGTTCGAGGGCTGTGTTGGCCACATGTGCCGCTCCTGTCTGTGCACAGATTGCTGTGGGGGGGAACTGCTCAAGTACTCCAGTGGCACTGAAAGTTGTGGTATAAACACAGTGAGTCCAGAGGAAGATCCGCTCCCCATTCTCCTTGATCTCGCTCAAGACTCGCGGGATACTTACTAACAAGAGGTCAGCCGGACCATCCAGAGCCTGTGGTCGTTAGTGGCTCATTAATCTCAGGGTCTCATCTAGCCGTTTCCCGAAAGATGCCGGGGTTTCAGTTTCAACACCGTGGCTGGGCAGCTTGTTCCATGCTCCCACCACACTTTGTGTAAAGAGGTGTCTCCTGCTCTCAGGTTTACATGCCCTTCCATTTCATTCTGGCTGGAGTTTCCCTGGTGGTTTATTCTGGAGAAGAACCTTGGGTTGGCTGTGTCCGTGTCGTTAGGGGGTCTAATACAGGCAGAGAGTGAGAGAGAGAGAGATCCTATGGAAACGCTGAGGCTGAGAAACTCCCAGGGTTCACAGCTATAAACATTCAGCACAGGAAACCAGAAGCCACACATACGCACTGTGGCAGTTACTGCAGGGGTCAGGTATGCGCGCAGTGGTCTGTCCAGCTGGTCCCCAGAGCCCCGCAGCGCTGACCACAGGGGGGGCGCTGTCCGCGGGGAGACCGGCCTCCTGCAGCCCAGGCACCCAGAGCCGTGGGGCTGTCCGACAAGGGTTCGATCTGACCTTTTCCCAGAGACTCTGGGTGTTAATGTTCTGAACGCCCTGTCTCATTGCACGTCTCGAGATCTCCAGCTTCTCAGCAGAGAAAACCCTTGCTGAGTGCCCAGTGAGGCCTCGTTAGCTCAATTAAAGATTCACTTGAGTAAAGGTCTAGTAAGGGGATTCCCAGGGCCGAGCCAGGGAACCCCTTAATAAGTTATCAAGGCCTCATCGTTCTGGGGTTGTCTGGTTTCTTTTACTTGTGTTCCACACCAGCTCTCATTTACAGAGCTAGTTTAATGATGAATTAATTGATTGAACAATGAAGTAATGAATCAATTAACTGGTCAATTACAGCGCGATTGTTTTATTTCCAGCCTGGTGCTGCAGACCGGCTCCGGAAACTCGCACCCCGGGAACCATGACGTCAGACTCGCTGGAGAAATCAGTTTTCAAAGGAAAAGCCGCTGTCGAAAGAGCAGAGGAAATGTGTTCATTTTGTCTTTTTAGAAAGGGTCATTACCAGCAGTGTTGGTGTGCGAGGAGTATGTGTGAATGTGTGCGTTTACGCACCTCCGTGTGGGTGTGTTTTTGAGTGAGAGTGTGTATCGCTGTGTGTTTTGTGTTTACAGGTCAATGTGGACGCCGCCCGCCGCCAGTTTCTGAGTTTCTGAGCTCCACGTCTCCGCGCCGAACTCGAGTCTTTTTGGAAAGAGGAAACGGGCGTGTTTCTCCGGCCGCTGTTGCTCAATCCCTCTCCCCCCCCCGCCCGTGTCCAGGGCAGAACGGACATTCCTGCGTGCTGAAACCCTTGACGGTAAACCCCATCCCTGAGGTGGCATCTGTGCTCCACGTGTTCTGAGCCGACAGTGGGTTTCAGAAGCGTCCCTCTGCGTCGAGAGAGAGATTCCGGCCAACTGAAGTCCTCCGGGCCTCCGCTTCGTGCAGAAAACAGCCAGGTGTACTAGAGCTACAGACCGTGACTTCAAATGGCTGATTCATATCGCTACTAGAGGAAAAAGCAGTAAAATCATTAATGTAATTGTTACTGTTTTTCAAAATGATTTTTTTCCCCCTGGACTGTGGGTTTTCCATCGCCATAACAGCAGGCTCTGCGGGTTTCGCTAATGAACCGTTGTGTGATAATTGCCGCTGGTTTGACATCGGCAGAGAGCCGCCGCGACTTCTAGAAGCCGCCCCCTCGGAGAAGCGCGCTCCTCGCACCCAGCGCCCAGGCGGGGTGTAGCTCTCGGGAATATGGGTTTCAACCACCCGTTATCCCTCTTCCTCTTCTCCTGTTTCCACGCGTGACGGCGATCCCGCTGGAACCAGACACGTCCCGGAGGGCCGACTGGCCCGCCCACGTGTGCGTCCCGGGCTGTTCGTGCCGGTGGTCGAGGCCCGCGTGCTTGTTTTGGCCTCGCTTCCGCTTTCCGGGTTTGGGTTTTTCTTGGAGCTCAAAACAACGTAAAACGAAGCTTTCAAGTCCGTAGCTGGCCCGATCTCTCTCTCTCTCTCTCTCTCTCTCTCTCTCTCTCTCTCTCTCTCTCTCCGTGTTAATTTCCTCGGTCTGGTGCTCGAAGCGAATGCAGAGATAATTCTGCTAATTCATGACGATGCCTGGCGGAGTATATAGCGCCTTTCTTCTTTCCAGACGGTCCAGAAAGCCGGGGCGCCGGCGGTCCCGCCCCAGTCCCAAGGCAGACGCGCGCTGGTGCAGCGGATTGAGCTCAGGACGGAGTCGGGGACACGGGCGTGCGCGACTGAGGGTGGGGAGGGACAGACGGGCTCAAAGACAGATAAACACGAACCTGTCTTTGGCTCGTTCCCGTCTTTAAAGGCGATATCGTCAGAGTTGAGTAAACATGGGGCGGCCGACGCCCTTGTTTGAGCTGAAGGGAACTGCTTGTTCAGGTTGGCCTCGAGGGGTGTAATTGGCCGTTCAGGAGCGCAGTAATAACGGGCTTCGTGTCTATTTGTGGCAGCAGCGCTTTCCTGTCAGACGCTGATATCACCTGGGGGGACAGCAGCGGTTTCTCCGTACGAACACGCGTCTCCTCCCCCCTCCGCCTCGCACTGCCCCGCCGGACACAACACCCGGCCCCACACTGAGCGGACACTAACACGCCAGTGCTGTCTGCGACTGATCCAGTAACTGCAGTCACACCGGATATTTGTCCTAATGAAACCGCCGTTTACGAGGCAGAATAGTCTTCTGTAACACACAACACAGTGCACATATCGGAGCAGACACTAACACAACAGTAGTGTATCTACTACTGAAACTGTACCTGCTGTTACACGCACTACTGCTTCGGTCCTGCATTCAAGAGACCAACAGCGCTGCGCTGACCCATAGACTGAGCACAAAAGGAGCAGGCACTAACCCAGCAGGGCTTGTTCCGGCTGGGGTCCTTGCAGGGCCTGACGCAGATGCTCACTCGGGAACGCCAGTGGCGTGTTTGCGAGGAGTGGGCGCCTCAGGACTAACAGCCCGCCCCGCACAGGGTGTCCCGGGGGGATTCTGCGTGCGAGGCGCACCGACACCCTGTCACGTCAAGTTACTGCTTTTCAGTTCAGCTTCTGGGATTCGCACAGATGTCTCGTTGCACAGGACCCGAAAGAGACTGGAGACCGGAGTCCCGCATCTCGTCAAGACCGCCGCGATACAGGAGTCCTCTGTCCAGCGGGACAACAAAGGTAAAAGCACAACACAGGACGGTAAATCACAGTGAGATCAGGGTAAAAACACAGTACAGTGCGGTACATCACAGTGAAATTTAGGGTAAAAACACAGTACAGTGTAGGAGCTACAGCGTAGGGAGTTATAGTGATATTAAATTAAACCGCAAAACATGGCTAAGAAAAAAAAAAACGTGTTGTTACAACGCATACAAAATCCGTGAAAAACAGAGTGACTAACAGGCCTTCAGCCGAGCAATTGTCGGTTTAGCAACTCAGCACTTTCTGCGGGTGAGAGAGGAAAACACAAATATTTTGACCGAAATTAACATGTCAAGAGCGCCGGACGAACTAGCCGCCCCCAGGTGCCCGATTTCACCCGAGGGGCGGGCGGTCCGCTTCGGGTCTTTCCGCTGTTTCTGCACCGGGGGGGGCTGCGAGCTCGCGACCAGTCCCCTCGCCCTCCGCGCGCGACGTCACCGCATCGCCGGGCTTTAAAAAGAGCTCTGGCGCGAGAGGCGAGGCAGAGTTCGGAGAGTTTTGTGAGACTAAACTGGGATAGCAGAAAACATACATCTTCATAAAGACAAGGTAGGAGGATGATGATGATATCATTATTATTAAGGTGCATCTCTGACCGCTGTAACTCCTCCAAGTTTGCAGTGTATCGTATTCCTGAGGGTGTCAGAAACGGATATATGACTTGATTAATTTAAAGATAATTCCCCCCACGCTCCCTATAATAACGCCCAAAGCAACAAAAATCCGATTCTGAAAGGAACCTTTGTTGTCGTCAGTAGAAGTCGGGTGCAGTACGGTTGTTCTGGTCTCATCGGACGGTTTGAAACTGGTCGGTGGTGTTTTGCCGTGCGTGTGTCGGGAGTGATCGGCTCAGCCCCGTGGTCGCGGGGTCACGGGGAGAGGGGCTCTCGCGCTTGACGATGAGCACCCCGCAGTAGCACAACACTCAACACAGTAAGCCCTGCACACTTTTACACACTGCGGCAAACTGGTTTATACTGTAATATACTATAACACACTAGATTAAACTGGTTTATACTGTGATACATTATAACACACTGCGGCGTACTGTGGTGTATACTTTAATATAGTATAACAAACTAGATTAAACTGGTATATACTGTAATACACTGTATTAAACTGGTATAGAATATACTATAACACACTAGTAAACGGCAGTATAAACTGTAATACACTATAACAGTGCAGTAAACTGGCATATACTGTAGTACACTTTAACACGTAGTAAACGGTGGTATATACCACAGTGTACCGCAACACACTATGGTAAACTGTGCTATAATACAATACAGCTTCAAAAATCCACACTGAAGATATACTGAAAATAAGCATGGCGTTCTTAAAGCACTTGCGATACGCCAAAGGGGAAAATCCTATTTGATATCGTTTTAGTATCGCGGTTCATATGTCGCTTCCTGCCGTGCAGGTGTTTTAAAACAGCGGGGGGGGGGTTTCTCGTACTACCACAGTCTCGAGTCACACCCCTTCACGCTCGTGCTGATCTGATCGCTCTCCCGAGGGGCGAGGGGCGCGGGGCAGGTCTGGTCGTCCTGGCGAGGGTGATGGCAGAGCTCCTCGGCTTGCACCTCGCCGCCCCCTAGCGGCCGAAGGGAGGTAGTGCGGCTTCGAGCTCGCCGGCGGAACCATCGGGCAGCGCAGAGATCTCCAGCCCTGGTCCAGGGCAGCTCCGGGAGAGCAGGCTCTGGAGGTCACAGCTGGACCACCAGTTTAAATCACAGATGTTTGTTCTAAAACACGGAACAATTCCATTGTAACTAATTGGGTGATTTGATCAATTAAGTCATTTACAGATCATTTAGGGCAAAGTCTTCAGCCCTCAAGGACCAGAGTTCTCTTAATTGGACAGATGGTGGCAGTCTCACCGGCCGAGCTAGAGACCCCTGATCCAGGGGGACCTGTGAGACCGACAGGACTGGGGCTCCTCGGTCTCTCGGCTCCTGGTCGGCCCGCTCCGCGCGTATCCACAGTGCGGGCAGCTCGGTTCAGAGAGCCGGTCCCCCAGGGCGCCGGCACAGCCCCAGTCGCTGCTCGTGTCCCGACGCCCCGCCCGGGTTCCGTGCGATGAGCGGCGGGGCGGAGTGGGCGGCTGGCGCCCGCGGGCGGGGTGATGTCACGAGCCACTTCCTCTCTCCGCTGCACAGGAAGCCCCTCAGCGATGATGGAGGACGACTTCAACGCCACGGCGACCCCGTATCCCGGCAACGGCTCGCTGGGCAACGACACGGAGGGGGACTACTACGAGGACTACGAGGACGAGTTCGCCGAGCTGCGGCGCTCGCTCAACGTCATGTCGCTCGTGGTCTACAGCCTGGCCTTCCTGCTGGGGGTGCTGGGCAACGGCCTGGTCATCTGGGTGACCGGCTTCAAGATGAAGAAGACAGTCAACACGGTGTGGTTCCTCAACCTGGCCGTGGCCGACTTCCTGTTCACCGCCTTCCTGCCGCTGAACGTGGCGTACACCGCCATGGGCTTCCACTGGCCCTTCGGCCGCTTCCTGTGCAAGGCCAACAGCACGCTGGCCTTCCTCAACATGTTCGCCAGCGTGTACCTGCTGGCCCTGATCAGCGCCGACCGCTGCCTGGCCGTGGTGTGGCCGGTGTGGGCGCAGAACCACCGCAGCGTGCGCGGCGCCTGGGCGGTCAGCGGCGCGGCCTGGCTGCTGGCCCTGGCGCTGAGCGCGCCCTACTTCGTGTTCCGGGACACGGCGCCGGCCTACCACGACGAGAGCGTGATCAACTGCTTCAACAACTTCGCCTTCTCCGACGACTACGAGACGCCGGCCGTGGTGCAGCTGCGGCTCTTCCGCCACCGCGCCATGATCGCCGCCCGCTTCCTGCTGGGCTTCGCGCTGCCCTTCGCCGCCATCGTGGCCTGCTACGCCGTCATCGTGTGCCGGCTGCGGCGCAACCGGGCCCTGGCGGCGCGCGCCGGACGCACCTTCCGCATCATCGCGGCGGTGGTGGCGGCCTTCTTCCTGTGCTGGGCGCCCTACCACGTCTTCGTGCTGCTGGAGATGTGCAACCACATGGCGGCCGAGTTCAGCCCCGCCCTCAACCACGCCACCACCATCGGCGTGCCCATCGCCACCAGCCTGGCCTTCCTCAACAGCTGCCTCAACCCCCTGCTCTACGTCTTCGTGGGCCAGGACTTTCAGGACAAGGTGCGGCGCTCCGTGCTGTCCGTGCTGGAGAGCGCGCTCACGGAGGAGGCCTCCCACTCCCACTCCCACTCGCTCTCCGCCTTCGGCCAGCGCAGCAGGGACAAGTCCACCTCCGGCGCCGAGCTGTGAGCCGGGATCCCG